CGGTCCTATTTATAATTATTGGTTTAGGTTAGGTTAGAACTGTGACCACAACGCACCAGCCGAGCGAGCGAAGCCAGAGTCCCGCTCCAGTCATTCAGTCAAGTTCCAGAAACGAATCGGTCCTATTCATAATTATTGGTTTAGGTTAGGTTAGAACTGTGACCACAACGCACGAGCCGAGCGAGCGAAGCCAGAGTCCCGCTCCAGTCATTCGGTCAAGTTCCAGAAACGAATCGGTCTATTAATTATTATTGGTTTAGGTTAGGTTAGAACTGTGGCCTTACGTTTCATTCGCGAAGAACGTACTTCTGTACGTAGTATTTATTATTATTCTATGGTATGAGTGAAAATATCATGGTAATGTTTAGGGATAAAAGTGTTATGATAAAAAACAGTAGGAGTTTAAATATATTTACATAAATGATATTATTAATTACAATTTTCGGAAACATGAGTGTTATGAACATCGCCGGTAGCACTACAAATAGTATGAATGAAAACTTTAGGATGAAAAATTTTAGGAAGAGTGATCATTCGGATTTAAAATCGTTAGGAAGAACAATTTCGGGTAAATAACTTTAGGTGAGCCAATATGGACCCAATGACTACACCGATCAAAATGGCGCGAATTTTATTTATGCGCCCTAAGGCCCTGTGACTTTTGTATTTGTAGAGATATTTTCATTTCATGATTCTTTCACAATTATTATTAGTTTTACTTATATTTTTCAAGATTTATTAGAAGAAAAAATTTGGAAACTTGTCCAATGTAACAAAGACGTGTTGCGAACTTTTTGGCTACTTTGGGTGTCACGAACTATTTGACGCCGACTACATTGAGATTCGTAAACGAACTAAAGTCGCTGACATAGCCCGATGGATTAGCAAGCTGAAGTGACCATGGGTAGGGCACATAGTACGCAGAACTGATGGCCGCAGCAAGGTTCTGGAGTCTACTCCACGTACTGGGAAACGCAGGTCACGAGGTGGACCAACGACCTCATAAAAGTAGCTGGATGCAGGCTCCTACCAACCGGGCAATATGGAAATCATTGGGGGAGGCCTATGTTCAACAATGGACGTTCTGTGGTTGATGATGATGTTGATGAAGTACGTAATTATCGCCTTTTCAGATGCGCATTTTCTCTCAAGCTTTTGCTAATATTTATCTAAAGTAGTTCTCGGTACTGTAGTAAATATTAGCAAAAGCTTTAGAGAAAATACGCATCTATCTTAGCCATGATTCTGAATCTAAGATATAGATTCAGTACATCTTTCAATGGTTTCCACACCTTACAACAGTCACTATGTATATTTATTAGATCCCCACAAAGTACCCATTACGAGACGCCATGGAGCGTTTTTCAGTGACTCAAAGCAATATTTAAGAGCTGAAGTCTATGACCAAATATGGGCACAAATTAATTTCGCGACGTGCGCATTGCCAGTCGTGTCTTTAGAATTAGTAGACTTGTGATACGTTTAGTGGCTGGTGATAGGTTTATTACTAAGTAAGAAAGACTTGTAAATTTTAAACCACTGATTTAGAGGATGTTGCTGGCAGTTTGCCCAGCAATCCTCTTTTGATATTATTTATGTTTTTTTACTTTTTTTAAATATTGTTTTTTTTTAAGTTGGCTTTTTTACTGTCTCTTGTGCGGTCTAGTTTAATGTCCCTTATTTTGAGTTTTCCTTGTTTAGCTTTTTGCATAAATAATCACAACTAGCAGGTCTCTCTCTACAGTCTACTCCATCGCCCATTAACATTGGTAAAACACTTCGATGAGTTCGGTCCTTAGACAATGCCAGCGGTCGCGGGTCCAATCTTCGCTTAATATGTACTACATACATTGGTGTGCATACACAGCTGACTTTTCTATATTGTATGTACGAGTATTTACAAAGAAGTATTTAGCTATGTATATTGTATCTGTTGTCTGATAGATACCCATAGTATAGGCTTTACTCAGCTTGTTATTAGATGCTAGCGCAGTATACCTATTATTATGTTCAAGGATATTCTTCTTCTTGTCAAACCTATGTACAGTGTCAGCCCAAATTTTGCTACAAGAGCATTAATTAAATCTTCAGTTTTTTGGGCACATAGGGCATATGCTTCATCGACTGGGGAACACAACCACACTTGCACTCCAAGTTTGAACCATCTGAGAATCCCCACCTGAACATTTGTCCTTACTACGGCCCACGTCCTCCTTGGTTGAGGATTCCGGGTGAAGCTCGCTTCCACCTTCGGCCTGATCGTCACTTACCATCAGGTAAGATACAGGCCAAGAGCTTCCTCGTTGTGGATAAAAAAAACGTCCGAAGTCTATTTAAAGACCTTACAAGGAAACAATTTTACTTGATAGTTGAATTCCTTGTGTCATGTACTTTTATTGTGACCAGAACCTCAACACATCTCCAATCTCCAATCGTAAAACTAGGCCATACCTAAACCACACGGTAGCCCACGTGTGCAATGGTACCTTTTTACCCAGATTCGCTACCAAAACACGGCTTTATGGGCCATTGTGAACGTAACTTGTTTGCAAACATCCAATAAAAAAAGATAAGCCGATAGCTCTGATAATGAGCCTTATCGGCATGACTTCCTTTAGGTTTGTGATATAATTACTTTTAATAAGAATCAGGTTTTTACTTATTATTTTGTAAGCACAAGCTACTTACCTATTAAAGACAGATAATTTCGTACTTCAGCATCAGCATTGATTGTATCTAAATTCGGGCAACCGTTATTCGAGCGTAAGTATTTTCGGTCAAAAATTATACCGATAAAATGATTTCGGTCAATCGTTATTCGATCATTCATGATTCGGGCCTAAGTTGTACAATCATCACCATTTCAGCCATAGGACGTCCATTGCTGAACATAGACCTCCCCCAATGAATTTCCATGTTGATCGATTGGTACTTAGCGGCCTGCGTCCACAGCGCCTTCCTGCTACCTTTATGATATCGTCGGTCGTCGTCGTCGGTATATTTAAAGTTATTAGGCAGATGAAATATTTTTATCATCTTTTGCAAGCTAGATACTTAGATGGCGCAGTGTAAAATTCTTATACTTTATACTTACTTTTCCGCGGGAAGCACCTGGAATCTGGATGCTGCTAGAGCCTGTCGTTGCGGAGGCCTTTTTCCAGCAGTGGATAGTTTTGGGCTGAAATGACCAAACTTAAGTATCTGTATCCCGTTTAATTGTGTTTTTAAAACACTCACTTCATAATTGTCTTATTATTACTTACAAGTCATCTATTTATTAAACTTTTCAAAAACCAACACAAATATTGTAATTATTCATTATTTTTTATACCTATTCATCATCATCATCTCTAGCCATCGCTAAACAAAAACAAAACACTGCAACATCACCTGATAAGTCTCAAACGACAAAATGTGTAACACCGAAAACACAACAAAATTGAATGATAAAAAGTGCAAATCAATAAAGAACTCACAAATCACCGTCGCGGTCCCGCAGATGTCCCCGCGAACAACAAAAACTTAATTATCACGTATTATAACAGCCTCGCGCCCGCCGCGTGCGCAGCGTGAAAGGGCGTAACTCTAAATTTTAAGGTTTTGAAAATATTTTTTTTTGATTCCTTTGATAGTTGGTTTCTAGGGTAATCAAATAAAAATGAATTAGATTTGATAATAAAATCTATGATTTTACGAATTATAGCATCAAAATCAGCATGTTTGTAGTGCTCGTCCTTCATCATTATCTTATTTAAAACCTTATCTTATTTAAAACCTTATCTTATTTATAACCTGTAATTTTAAATTATTATTGAAGCGTGTTTTCTTTTTCTCACTAAGTGTAAATAATTCACAAGAAAATACATATCGTGTGACTTACTCGAATTCCATGGCTTCAGGGCTCGTGGATAAATCAATTTTGATTTTCACACACGAAATGCAATCGCATTAAATTCTTGATTTCTCAAAACTGCGTGTTCTTACGTATTGGGTTTTAGTTAAAACCGTCAATACATCAATACGAGCATCGAACGCGGCAGAGGCGGGCCCAGGCGGCCCGTAATTACAGGCACCAGAGCCTTCGGGCCTCAATACGCGCCCCTGCCCTAGCGGATTATTTAGTAATTTTCCTTTTATTTGGACTTATACGCTTTTGCCAGTGGGCGTTCGCAATGTGTCCTCTTTTTGCAAGTTAGGTTTGGACAAGTGCGTGTGAGGTATGGACCGTAATAAAACAATGTAAATAATTACAACTTTCATTTTATTAATGTTAGAGCTTTGTGTGGTTTTAGCACTTGGATTGCATTTTGTGATAGATGTAATTTATTACTAAATTAACGCTATTAATAAATTAACATACTTTTTATGAACTGCTCCTGTCATTTTGTTCACATTGATTTTAAAATCATTCCATTATTGTTTCAGTTTTTGAGACTCCGTTTCGTAAGTTTCAGCTAAAATATGACGTCCACTGCTAGACAAAGGCCTTCCCCAAGAACTTTTCCAGAGTGACCGTATACAAGTTTGATTAGGTGGTAGTACCTACTAATTTTAGCTATTATGGTATCAACTACACAGGTTACAGTTACTTACCTTCGAGTAAGCATTTATATTTGTACTAATTTTAAAAGATATAAATTATGATAATTAATTAGAAAAGTACGGAGGCATTAGTTCATCTATTTTAAAACTTGAAAAACCTACTGATACAGGTGGGAATTGAACCCACGTCGTAATTTTTTTTTTTAAATAAATTCAATATCCTCATATTTGACAGATTATTTGACTAGCTAGATGCTCCAAGGGTTTTTGTAATACGATCAAACCATGCATTGTTGTAATTGTATGCTTAACCATCAGTGAATATTTATTAACATACCTACTTGATTAGGTTAGTTCTAGTTTTTGGAATGATATTATAATGGTATCTAACTAAAGGGGTTTCAAAGAAAATAAAAAGTCGGAATATAAATTTTATTGCTTCTTATAAATTTTCTTACAAATTAGGAAGAACTAAAGTTTCGCAGTGCGAGTGTTTTATGCTAAATAACTAAAATTTCAAAGTACACTAAACACAATAACTAAACATTTAGTACAATATTGCTATGAGATATTTTAATCAACAATTACAATTTATACAAATAACTTTATATCTAGAATTGTTATAAAAATAAAACCTACACTATATCTACAGGCTTCATGGAAGAGCTAATATTCATTTATTTTGATTTTTTTGTTTGTTAATTTTATCTACGTAATATACAAAAATAGTTACAAATAAATAATTGTTTTAATAGGAATCGCTAATCTGCTATCTCTATGGTATACCGTTTTGGAAAAAACGTTTTATTTACCAGTTTTTAATAGGACCTTCGTACATAGCACCAATACATTCAGTTTTAGATATACAAGCGATAACAGCCTTTATTTATTACATAATATCATATCAAGTCTTACAATTGATCATGATTTAATTTTAACTAACATTTCATCACAATTCGTACATACAATCAATTGTTCGTCAATTCAACAATATTATTCCATAAAAATACCTTAATTTCAATTTAATAAACAAGTATTCACCTATGAATATTAATACAAGCACTGGTGTTACTATAGGACTCAATGGATTAAAATACAATTTTCAATAGTCATGTCAAATTCTTTGGGCCATATCTAGGAAGTGTCCTAAGATCCTAGTTCATCAGTCCTTAGTCAATTGCTGTAGCAGGTCTGTCGGACGCCCGCGAGGATCACGCTGAACTCGTCTTCGGGCCTGACGTCGGTCCCCGGGGGCGCGGGGGGGTAGGGCCCTGCCGGCGGGGCCCCGGAGATCACAGAAGCGTAAGGGGACGGGTACATCCGTTCAGAGCAGTACTCAGGCCCGGGGCCTTGTTCAGGGCAGTACGGGGGCCTGTAGCCCTGCTGTTGCTGCTGCTGCTGCTCGTATCTATACTGCTGCTGATGCTGATGCTGTTCCATCGGCCCACCTTCAGCTCCATAATCCAAATATTTATCAAACTCCCGGGCGTCCACGTCAGACTCCGGCGACCCTGTCCTAATCTCCGGACGGGAACTCATGTACTGCTCCGGTTCTTGACCCTGATTGGAAGGCGGCTCCTCAGAGAAGTAAGAGCCACCCGTGTCGTACTCGGTTTTAGGCTGCTCAGAGTAGTGCGACACGTATGAGTCCTCAGTTTTATACATTTGCTCGTACTGCTCATATGGATGATACTGGATGCTGTATTCAGATTGCATCGGGCCACTTGGGGCTGATGACACTCTTGGTGTAGTCGTGCCAAGCGTCTGCTGGTCTTGAGAAGTGGCTACTGGAGGAAAGAAGGTCCCAGTGACGAGGGGCGATTGTTCTGCGAGGGTCCTCTGCGTGCACATGACGTACATTCCATTGGCCATTCCCATGGCTGCGACGGGTGCGGGCGAGAAGGAACCCGGTGTCCGGTAAGGTTTGTATGGAGAATATGAGTCTGAGAGGGAGGAGGCGTTGATGGCTCTTCGCCTTTCCTCGTACTGAAAGTTTTCCTTTTCGTTTTCGACGGGCGAGGCATCTGGGGTGGGCAGGGGGGCTTCGGCGGGCGCGGACCTCCGTCCTTGAGGCTCAGGGGACCTCGCTGGAGACGATTCCGGGGTTTGGACGTGGCCGTTGAACTGGTTGGATTGGAAAGAGTCGGAGGCTAGCGGCGAGGTGCGATAAGGAGAGAAGCCAGCGCCAGGGTTGTGAGAGAATCTAGTGTCTGGGGAATCGGAGGCGGCTGCGTATGGGGACCCAAGGGCAGCGGAGGCGGCGGGCGCATTAGCTGGCGTCGAAGGCTGGTTCGGCCTCGTCTTGTTCTGTTTCCGTCGCCGAGGCCGGTACTTGTAGTTGGGGTGCTCCGTCATATGGATAACCCTCAACCTCTCAGCCTCCTCCACGAACGGTCGCCTGTCTTGCGGTGTCAGCGAACGCCATTTTTTACCTGGAAAATGGAAAAACAGAAAATGAACCAATTGTTATGTTAAACGATGCAGCATTTACACGTTTTTACTAGCAGAGAAACCGTACCGCGGCGCGGCTAGGCATTACGCTTTTTATAGAATTGACAGGTCATTTTTCAAACAACGGTGGTAGCTGGAACGGGTAATATAAAACCGTGATAGTTACAAATATTTTCCTACAAATATCTTGATGGCGTTTCTGGTTTATTAGTGGTATGGTAAAGAAATAAAATGGACATCGTCTGTCACAAAGTCAAGCTAAATAATCACGATAGTGTTTTATCAAATAACTATAAAACACGTACTACGGGAGGCTAATAAATCTTCATACCGAGTTTGACCGAGGGCTGTGGTTTTGCTGGGGAATTTTAATATTTAGTTGTTGGTGATAAAGTTGAAATTTTGTTGTGTCAGCTGGTGTGAGGTTCCGAGAGAAATTATCTAGAGGAGCGCACAATCTTTAAGGATATTTATCAAAGCGACACTACTTGCTACTGGCAAAACAACTTCACTTTTAGTGAGGTACAGCGTCGATAAACCGATCTATCGATAAGCTTCTTGTAAATTATTATCTTCGGGGAAATATTTATTGGGCATTTTAATGCGATAATGTTTTAACCATTCGCAAATGCCTTGAGTTTGAATCAATTTAGCTTTTGTGTTTTATTTGGACTTAAGATAATATCAAAATATTCATCCGAATATTATTTTATTTACATAATAGAGTTATATGGATTTTTTTTAAAAGCAGCTATCCATCAGAATCAAAGCATCGCTGTTATTATTACGTTTATATTCACCCACAAAATACAAGTAATCGTACAAAAACTTATACAAAAAGATTATAAGACGAAACGTATGATTGTGACAAAAAATGCGAGTCAGGTATCAAGTGGAACTTGTTTGAGTGATGTCAAATGTCAACTTAACAAATGACGGGTGCCCGCTTCCTGCAGGGTACAGTCGGCGACATAATAGTGACATAGTTTTGACAATAAAACCACGTTATCGAGCGGTATGAAAGGACTCTTGATTTAGAAGATAGATAAATAGTCTTAAAAATGGCACAATTTTGGCGGTCTTATAACTAAAAAGCGATCTCTTAGATTCGAATAAATTAAAAAACTAGACTTGAATTATTGAAAAAATACTTTATTTTATAGTTGCCAGTTTGGTTAGAATATAATATATAGAACTTTGAAGTTTGAAAACATAATAAAGCTTCTGTGTTTTGGATGGTATTTATGCCAATTTACATCGTCGTTTCGATTGTGAAAGATGTTGTTGGTATGGATTTAGAACTAATTCAAGATTCAGAGTAAAAAATTGAAAAAGAACCATAAAAAGTTACATAAGTTTTTGCTTCCGACTGTATTTAGGCACGCATAGTGCTGGATTATCGATGTCTGTCGCTATCGATACGGCTGAATAATTAATGATTTATTACGATATGCGATTAGTGTTGTCAGCGGGAGTTATTGTTTTAATGTAATTAAGTTTTTAAGGTAATGTGGGTAATATGATGATACAGAAGTTTTTTAAGTGTATTTTTCAATGTAAGGTTTTGCGATGCAGCTTAACGTTTTAAGACGATTACAAGCATTCATTAAAAATGATCGTTTTTCTTTACAGTTCCTTGCGACCTAATGATACAATATGTAGCAACAACCAATTATGATACAAAGCTGCCTAAAATAGAGTCTGCAATGTTTCAGTGATCTCACTCAAAATTTTCACTTTACAGTAAAATTAATATACTCGTATAGGTTTGCTATTGAATTGATGTTACACGATCTTATTGGTTCGCAAGAGTCTACTGACACATACATATTTTGATGAATGAAGAGGTTATTATTTTATTGTAAATCATATTATTGTTCGTTTGAGGTACTTGGAGATTAAAAAACACTGCTTTTAATGGGTTAGTAGTATGCGATGCGAATTGACTCTCTTTTGATCTAGTAGTATGCGATTACTAGTATTTACTAGTTCTCATTGAGGTCGATTCGCACCCGTTTTTAATACTTTTGATACATCCGGGCGAAACGCCTACTAAAAAAAAATATTATTGAGAGGGGACGTTTCGCACATTCGTGCGAAGGAAAATCGTGCGAAGGAAAATCGTGCGAAACTACTACTAACCACTTTTAATCACTAAACCAAAACAGAAATCAAAGTACACATCTATCGTAGAAAGCTTTCAAAACAGCAAAATTTTATCGACCTGTCAATCTGATTGAGACACATTGCAAGCCCATTGCTCTAGATATTCACAGAAACCACCCAAAACCCAGAAATCCTTGGGGATAACAAATGACAAGTGATTAAAGTAATTTTGGGATGAAAAGGATGCTCAACGTTCGTGGGATGACGCGCATCTATCAAAATCATCCTAATACTTTTTTGGGAGCAAAGCGATTATCGATAAGGGGAGAAATATTGCTTTGGGTACATTGTTGCATCACTAAAGGTGATGGGTTTTGGAAATGATTTTTGCTAATAAAAGCCCTTGGGGTAAAGTTCGAATCCTGATAGGATACATTTTTTGGGAATTAATTTATTGTGCTTCATATGGAACACAGTTGTCATGTAATTCGTAACACCAGCATGTAGTTTCAGATGGACAAAATATTTGACCTGAAAAAGGGAATTTTTACCCGAATTTAAACAGGAGGAGTTTCTATGTTCGTTAATGTAAATACAGTGGTTTGAACTTTTCTCTAGCTCTACCACAAACGCAGATTTTTTATTTCATAACCAGACAGTTTTCAACAAAACATGTAAACCCTCACGAGCTTATGACTGAAATAAAATGCTTGCCACCGTAGTTCCACGCAAATTATAATAACCAAGCAGTTCTTTAAGTTTTTGTCGTTACATAAAAATTAAAGCCAAAAACGGTTCTAGTAACTCTGTATGCAGTCCATATTAATTAAAACCAAGCCTAATCTTTCAAATACCTGTCACCACCTACTTAAAAACAAGTAGCGACACTGTTTATTTTTTATTTCATAACCAGAAGCTGTTGGTTGAAAGAAAAAAATTAAAAAGAACGAACTAACGAGGCAATCTATCATCTTTGTTTAACATGGCGGTGGTCTCGCTCAATCATTAATTAGATCAGATCATTAATGACGGTAATGATGTTTAATGATTAATTTGGAGAAATTAATAAGCATCGATTCGAATTTGGAGTTTAATTGGAGCTCGTTTGTTTTATTTACACAAGAAAGAAGGTATTCTTAATTCCATTTGACATTTAAGTACTTTTTAATTAATTTGAATTTAATAGAAAAATGATTGAGTTTTTGGAATTAAACATAGTAGGCTGTGTGTTATACATTGTTTATGTGTGGCAAAAGTCCTTGAAAGTAATAACTTGATAGTAAATTAATGAAAGTGGAAAAAAATACGTCATATCTCTGGTCTTCTCTTTATATTGACTCGTAAACTCTTGTGACACAGATTATACCTACCATCAGAAGTAGAACCGTAACCATTTCTTTTAATTAACTGTGAGGTGACGTGTTCCATTGTGGTCCGAAAAAAATAAAATGTCAAACGTATCTATATAATCACCTTTCTAAGGCAAAGGCGTAGCACTTACAGCCAGAAGATGGCAGCCTCGATTTTTTGCGCCGACGGATGTCGAAGCGCACGCGTCGCATTCTAAAATCGAATTTCTGCTATTCCTTTCTATCAGGAAAACCGCGTATGTTCCGTCTCGCTTTAACGAAACATTTTTTTTTGCATTTCGATTCTGAGCCCGTTGTTTTTGTCGTTTTTTTATGCGCCCGCGTCACATAGCGCTGGCGACCGGTGGCCGGTTTGAAATGTCCTAGTTATTTATGACCCGTTTCTCGGTCTTTAATAAACGTGACCTGTAATGCCATGGATACGGCACAATTTGACTTTATTAAGAAGGCATACTAATCGTTGGTAATCTCCGAAACTTTAGATAGATTTTACATGTCAAAATTCTTCAAGTAGCTACGTAGGTACCTATCCCCCTATCAAGTATTTCAGGAACTGCGTGTTTAACAAGATTATTATTTATATGATTAACATAAACCCAGAAAAAATTGTAGCATAATATCATACTAGTTAATGAATTAAACGATGAATATTATGGGAATTCAATCTCTATCGGATTGATCCTTTGGGTAAATTTTAGGCTATAAAATTGAGAGACACTTCCTTTCCAACCTAAGAGTGTAGAGAGTATCTAGCTAGACTAATGCTAGAATTAACAGCTTGAAAATAATACTAATTAAAGAATAGTAGATATAGCTTTATGAGACCAAATGCTAGAGTTATCCCCGAACTACAAAAAGTAGAGTTAAAGTAGAATGTAAATGGGTTATGCAAATCTCCTCTAAACTTTCCGTAAGTGATTTGCAAAAGGCTCAAGAGTTTAACCGACAAAGACTCTTTATCAATTGGCCAACATGTACATAATCGATGCTTAAAGAAACCCGCGGCGTCTCACAAAGCATTATAATTTCTAGCAACAAATAAAATTTACAAAACGAATTTCCATGTTACGCCGACGTTGAGACGGTGGCTGCATTCCCTCGGTTTCCATTGCTCGTCCTTTTTTCCAGTTCTGTGGAAGAGAATAAAACGACAAAGCTGCCGAAAAGCATAAAGCGGGCGATTCGGCTGCCCGCTACAATATTGGCGGAAAAGGAGGTTTTATTTCAGTTTGAGGTGTAAGAGTTGGCGTTTGGCTTTTGTTTTTTTTATTTGTTTTTATGTTTTATTGTCTGTGGCGATCTAATTTTATCCTAGACTTCTTGGCGGGAAAGTGAAGCGACATGTTCGGCAGTTTTTTTAATTTTCTAAAATTTCTGTTTAACTACTAATCTAAATATATAAAAGGAGAATCTGACTGACAGATCAACGCACAGCCTAAACGGCTAAAAACGTAGGCACTTGAAATTTGGAAGGGACGTAGCTTAGGTACCGTAGAGGTGCACTAAGAAAGGAATTCCCGAAATTCCCACGGGGAC